AAAATGAAGGGATAAACCAAGTTGGTGTTAAGAGATATGACACACTCTTATCTTAACTTGGGGCTTTTATCTTCTTTTACACATTAATAATCACTACTAATGTATAAAATTAGACTCCTAACACGCACTCAAAAGTAGCCAACTTTAGAGATATTTCATTAGGAAATTTGGTTAAAATAGCATCACACTATTTTAAAGAATTACTCAAAGAGTAAAACAAAGAAGTTTTTATTCAATCCATGCCTGTCTTACAATGGCCATATGCCTGTGTATATATAGGCCACAATGGAGGGGAAAATACAACAACAAATAAAGAAAAATACAATAAAGGAAACTTCCTACTTCTTTCCTAAAAATCAAAGATTAATGTCCATCCATGTGAGATGATTTTCCAAGATGCTTCTCCTGATTTTGGGCTGATCTTCTTTGGGTTTATTTGGGTAGAAATTTCGTGCATATAAGGAAGAAAAACAAAGGGGAATCAAGCCTTAGACTTTTGTGAATAAAATGCCAAAACAGCACTATTCATTCAATGACTTTGTTTCTGATTTTGTTCTTTTGTTTCAAAAGTAATTATGCTTTTGTTTTGTGGAAGAAAAGGCTTTATTCTTTGTTGAAAATCAGGAAATAATTTTAGCCTTATACCCAAGCTTAGAAAAGGCAAATAGGAATTGACAATTTTGGGACTTTGAAGTGCAGAGATGTACAATAATCGATTAGCACCTTTAGATAATCGATTAACACGATTTGGTTCCAAACCAGGAATGATCAGAGATGCTCAATAGTCGATTAACACTGAAGAACAATCGATTAATAAGGCTTGCACAAAACTGGGTATTTTCAGAGGTCACAGATAATCGATTATTGGTTTGGAGATAATCGATTGTTGGAGGTTGCTAGTTTGTGACGAGGAATCAGAGGGATAGAATAGTCGATTATCAGTTGTGTATAATCGATTATTCAGGCTTTCAGGATCAAGATTAGGAAAGAGAGAGGATAATATTTTGTGGTTTTGTTTGAAAAGTCAAAAACATGAAACAAAGGTTTTTATTTTGATGGAAAAGATTTTATTTTTGATAAAAGAAAGGAGATAAAACTTTTTT